CTGCCTAGTAACTGGGTCTCCAGCAGCCGCCTCAGGACCCGGCGGCTGGGTGTCTGAGGTCCCTGAGATGTCATTGCCCGGGCGTCGGACATTTCATCCGAGTGTCTTCTGTCCTAAGAGAGGGAGCTGGTTTTTGAGCGCGTTCCCCTTGGACAGCCCACGGGCCGTGCCTTTCTGGAACCTGAAGGACGTTACTGCGGGAGCCTAAACACCAGGGCAAGTGGGCCGGGCGGCCGATCGGCTGGCCCAGCGTCCTCCCGACACCCCGAGGCGCGGGTCCGACCCGGGCAGGGCACCTGCAGGAGTCAGCCACTGACGGCAAACCCGTGTCTCTGTCTGTCTCCGTCTCTCACTCCCCTTTCCTCTCTCTAAAATCAATCAATCAAAAAAAACCCCCAAAACTAAAAACAGAACGGGAAGTCACCGTGGATGCCGATTGCCAGTGATGGTCAAGCCGACTTGGAGAACAGGGAACAGCGCAGGTTCGAAGGCGGGGATCTGGTGGTTGGCCTTTGGCTGGGGTTCCTGAGGGAACTCTGTGCTCTCAGCTCATGCCCGAGGGTCTGGTTTTGTGCCTCCTGCCAGGAGGAGACCTGGCCGCACATTCCGATGGTCCCTCCCCGCCGTCCCCTTGACCCTCAGCGCCTGCATGCCCTCTTACTGCCTCGGTTTGCTCAGGGCTGATGGCAGGTGAGAGCAGCTCTGTGAAGAAGAGGCTGTGGCTTTCCTTTGGGAAACTGGGCAAGACCCATGGAACTATAATAACATCAACCAAGCGTACAAGTATCTCACTGCGTTTCCGTAATAGAAGGAGACTGGACTAGGCCGGGGTCGGGGCTGCCCTTCCACTCTGGAAGCTGTGTGGCTGGCTGGGTCAGTGGCCCTCCCTGGCCCTCAGTGTCTGCCCTCCGTGCGGGATACTGTGACGCATCCCGTCTTCCTGCCGCTTCCTCGAGTTGTGAGGATGGACCAGGGGCACTTTTGGTGGCCTATTGTACTATAAAATTTCAATCTTACTACATCAGGGTGATTGGAACTCCTCAAAACCATCATTATGACTAGACTTAGAAGGTCATTTTATCTTCACTTGATCAGAGAGGCGGAATTACTGACACGGGTAGAGCCGTGTCACCAAAATGGCCATTACTGTAATTCTGCCCAGTAATGTAATAGAAAGACCTTACACTAAACTTTTATGAGATTTCACTGTACTTTTTAAAGATGCAGTTTAGAATTTTTATAGGAATGATTTTTTCCTCTTTGATTAAAAAGATGTTGTCTGTGTGAGAAGAACAGGTAGTTTCAGGTTCTCGTTGCTTTTCTAAGATTGGAAACTTTACTCTGAGGCACGTGCTCTGTTCAGACCTTTATTTTGCATGTTTCCCTTTGCTCCCCTCCAGGGGTGTGGTTCTCAGCTCTGAGCTGCTTTAGGGTGAAGCAGGCTGGGAGCTGGTTCATCGCCGTCCCCCGTAGCGCCTGCATCCCTGCTCTGCCCTCCATGCAGCCTGATGGCCGCCAGTACAGTTCACTTCTTCTTGGTTTTCTTCTACTTTACGGTGGCGGCATTTAATCCTGCCTCCTGTCTGAAGTCGAGCGGTCGGGGTTTTTTCTTTCAGGAATGGCCTGGACCGTTCCTCATGAGTCCTTTTTCTCTAAGCCAGGAGTGTTTGAGTTGGACAGAGTTCAGAAGGTCTGTGGATTTGCTGATGTACATAGAATTCTGTGTATCTCTATGCACAGTTTTGGCAGGAAATCTATAGGTTCATAAAGAATTTATTAGCTTTGCAAAGAGGTCTAAGACTCCAAAAATTGTCCACCTACGTTTTGCCAAGGAGGGAACAGGCACACTGACAGTGGAGCCTGAAAGCACTTTAAAGTAGTCGGGCTGGATGAAATGGATTTTGTTCCCCAAACGTCTAATAATTGAATACTGCTTTAGACGTGTCTCCTGGTTGCCCTGAAGTGTATTTTAGTAGTTGACGTTTCTGTGCCACTGACACTTTTTTAAAAAAAATCTATTTTTATTGATTTCAGAGAGAGGAAGGGAGAGGGAGATAGAAACATCAATGATGAGAGAGTCATTGATCAGCTGCCTCCTGAATGCCCCTTGCTTGGGGATTGAGCCTGAAACCCTGGCACGTGCCCTAACCGAGAATTGAACCGTGACCTCCTGGTTCATAGGTTGATGCTCAGTCGCTGAGGCACACAGGTTGGGCGCCACTGATGCTTTTGAGGAAGTGTGGGAACTTGTGATACAGTCCCATTTTCTGTTGTTTCCACACCTTTTATGGTAGAGACTGGTCGTTTGCCCCAGACTAAGTGGTCAGGACAACTGTTACACTCTCCTTCTTACTGTTGTGAAAAGAATGAATCAAGGCTTTGAGAACATGTAGGAACTCGATGTGCTGGAGGAAGTGGGGTGTTAGGCCTGTTTCTAGCTGCAGTGGGAGGAAGGGTGTAGACAGGGCTCATTCAGTGGATGGTTGGTTTCCCGATGCTGTGACAATCTGCTCCAACGCTGAGGCTTCGGAGAACAGCACTTTGTTGCCCTATGGCTGTGTAGCTCTGTCGCAGGTCTTCCTGTTGCCTTCTGCAGACTTGGTTTAAAACCCCTGCTGTGTCATTGCTGGAGCCACTGTCTGCTGCATTGTTGGAGAAGCATTTGTTTAGCCTATCGCTGCCCAAAATTATGATTTTATTAGAACAATTTACATCTTTATTGCTTCATTTTCATGCCCACCTACAGTTGTTTCCATGTACACATTTGGAGTGGGAGGGCAGTGACCGTGTTTGCCGCTGTCTGTGAAGACCAGCGTGGTAAATGTGTGCACTCTCCTTCTCCCTGCAGGCTCGTGCTCTCACCCCTCAGACTGCAGAGACAGATGCCATCCGGTTTCTGGTCGGGACGCAATCTCTTAAATATGACAACCAGGTAACTGTTTCTGACAAACATACACGTGGTAATGACTAAATTTGTTCTTACTCGTGTAACCGTCTTGCTCTTGATTTTTCAAGCAACGTTTGAGAAAGTTAATGCCACAGAAACAAAATGAAACTTCCACTGGGATTTCAATACCCAGCTGTAGGTACTGGTTGAGTTCAGTAATCTAAACTTATCCCATGTGGCATTATTGCCATCGTTTTTGTGGTCATGTAGGATTTACTGTGTACGTGACTGAGAAGCAGCCTGAGGTCCATGGTCAGCATCAGCCCTTCTCCCTGTCAGTGCTGACCTCTCTTTGCTCACAGCACTCTCTCTGCCTGCGCCTGGATGAGGCCACAGTCTGCTCTCAGTGTAGAGCTCTAGGCTGTCACCACCAGCTAACCCAGGTGGACATACAGGAGGGCACCCGTGTGCTGTTCTGGCCACTTTAGAGGAAAGAATGTTGGCTACTTGTGAGATCAGGGTTCACTTCATGGCTTGACACTGACTGTGACCTTGAGCAAATGGACTAGCCTTGCTGGACTTCATCTCCTCACTGCCAGAGGTGAAGCTGTGGGTGCCTGTCCCTGGAGGGGCCCATGATGTAGTGAGGACCAGCACTGTCCTCGACCCTGGGAAACGCACATGGGCATGTCTGATGGCACAGGGCCTCCGCCCAGCTGCCATTGTCACACGGGGACATGGCACTCAGGTGTCAGAGGAGTTCTGTCTTCAGCTTCAGTTTTAGGGTAAGAAGTATGTAACTATTTGGAAGCCTCATCCACGTGCTCCAGCACACGGAGGCTGCTGAGTTCTTTGCTGGCAGAGCCTCTGTCTCTTTCTCGTTTCCTTCATACCCCTCACTGAGCTGCTAATTAAGGCTGTCGGCAGGCTCCAGTTCCATTTCTAGCCAGGGTGGAGTTCAAGGACAGGTCTCCTGGCTTCCTTTCCCTCTTCCACATGCAGAGGTCTTTGTACGTGGATTCAAGTGACAGGTATGAGGAGTGTTCTGACATGGTGGTGTCTCCCATATTGTTCTGGGAACAGTGTGACATTGTTGGGACTGTCGTTCATTCGTTCTTTCAGCAAGTGCTTGTCTAGTGCGTTAGCAGGGCCCTTGGTTCCTCTCACTGTGCGACGTGCTGGGTACACAGAAATGAACAGGTGTGTTCTTGCTCAGAGCTGAGCCCTTGGTGAGATAATGAGGTCGATGTGCAGACACTGCATGGTGTTGTGACAGGGGTGTGCAAAGTGTCATGTGACCCAGGAGAAGTGGTACTTGTTTCTGTTGTCTGGCATTGGAGCCAGCACCACAGAGAAGGTGGCTTTTTGACTGAGGCCTTCAGGCCAGGGTGAAATGTTTCTCACTTGCCATTGGCCCTGTTTTCTTAATCCTGTGACTCAGTCCTCGGAGGGAGCCCTGGGGAGGAGGGAGGAGGGAGGGGGAAGCCAGACTCACCTGCTTTGCTCCCTGTGCTGCTGGAAACAGCCCTCACGGGCCACATGTGTGTTTCCTCTCACGCAACATAGGCATCCCTCTCAATGAGACATGTGTGCTTCCTCATGTGACACATGTGGTCCTTCTACATGTGATACATGTGTTTCTCTCACACACGACACACATTCTGTGCACACACATCTTCTTCTCCCCACATGGGACTCACATGTTTCCTCCCACATGTGACATGCATGTTTTCCTCGTACATGGCTAGTGTTGTTCTCATATGTGATGCACATGGTTGCTCATATGAAACATTCTTTCACATGTGACATGTGTTTCCACCCATACGTGATGTGTTTGCAGGGGCCCTGTTAGTGGGACTGTCTCAGGCCCTGGCCTGCGTCCTGTGGTGGGTGGTGACTGCCCCTGTGGAGGGGAGACCTGGGAGGCATGAGCACAGTACTCGCTGCCCTGCTACTCTCTGCAGAAGGGCTCCCTGTTCCTGTCTCCCAGCAGTGTTGTTCTAACGCGATTGTCAAGTGCATGATGATAATGGATTGTCTCTAGATCTCTGTCTCCTGTAACCGCTCCCTGAGCTGCTTCTCTCCAGTGAGGGGCCTGGAGCTGCTGCTGCTGCTCCTGTGACAGTCACCGTAGCCGTGTTGTTTGTGTAGTTCTCTAGCAGCCAGGTGTCGAACACACGCTGTGGGGTGCACCTGGAGCGGGCACGAGCCAGGTGCTGGTATAGAGGTCAATAATGTGGGTGCTGGCCTCCAGGGGCCCCAGTTGACTGAGGCCAGAAAGGTAAACACACAGGCTTCCAGGACAGAGGTGAGAGCTGAGAGCAGCTTCAGGACACCTCTGACCCCAGGGTCAAGGTTGGGGCCAGGTCAGGTCATTCCCACACCTGCTACCTCAATGGATGGAACCTCAGTGGGTCAATGGTGTTGACCTCCTTTCTAAACAGATGAGGAAGTTGGCTCTAAGCAGTCACATGGTTTATCCAAGGTGACCTAGCTGGAATGTGGGAGAATTGTGACTAAGACGCTCTGTCCAGCCCCCCCCCCCCC